AATAAAAAGATGGTTTTCTTGGACTCACCCTACTTCAGAAATTCTCACTGCCCCAAACTTGAAACCACTCAATTACACTTAAGCCAGCAATCCAGAAGTCAAATTCTGAGTCATAAACTCCAAGTTTTGCATTCTTGTTTGGAAAAAAAAAAACACAAAAAACTACAGGGAACATTGGCAAGATCATACAATGAGAAAAATCTCTGCTGCCAGAAAGCTTCCAGAAAAATTACATTTCTCCAGCAGCAGCTGCTAATACCTCCAACCACTGCTTTTGACAACACGACTGTTAACGCCAGTTCCTTACTTTAGTTCAGATATCAGCACAGTAGAACCTGGTCAGGACTGCAAGGCCCACTGCACTGCAATATTCTCTGCACTCACCATCAGTCAGGGACTCTGCTTTGCGCATCGCTCAAGACAGCCCTAACGCTAGTGATACACCATGATACTGCCATCACTTCTGCACCCCTACAATACCAGTTTCAGGGAGCTCAACTGGTAGGAAACCAAAAACACCAAACAGGCAATTCCTATAAGCCCGACTCCATGAATGGTTACGAGGCACTGCTGCACGGGTAGGGAAAGCAGCCCAATTGCTTCCCTTCAAACCACTGCCAAGAGAGTTGATTAGCAACTGTACCACCAGGGTGAGCTTAGGCTTCCCTCCTGTGAGCCTGGTAATTATTCAGCTAGGGAACAAAGCCAGATCAGCTCAGATATCTAACCAAAAACTACCCCACACTACGGTAAGGTTAACTGCCACTTGCAACTGCAAGCTCATCCAGTCGTACCAATTACATGAGCAGCAGAGGTAACACAAAGTACAAGAGACAAATACACAATCAGGAAAGTTTTTTTCAGTTGCAGTCCAGTTACACAAGTGTAAGGTGTGGAATCTCATGATAAAAGCATTTAAGAAAGGGAACTAAAGGGGAAGACCACCAGCAATGTTAAAGAGAACAAGGCCTGTAAAGAGAACAAGTATCTAGCTTGCACTTCTCTCTTTCTAGTCATTGCTCCTACCACACTTTACCCCAGAGCACCCCCAAAACAGTCAAAAGCTCAGTCAGTCTCATTCAATAGAATGTGATTCTACACAGTGTCATTCCTTGGTCTTTTTTTGTGGTCAAATGAGAGAAGTCAGATTTATTTTTTTGTTTCTTCAGATCTCTCATCTTTCATGATTACAATGCAACTTTTCTATTTAGAAAACTCTTCCAAAAATGTTGACACTAAAATATGCTCCATCTTAATATTGATCCTCCTAAAGCTACAGGGGTCAAAGGAAAGAGAAATCTCCTTATGTTTTAAACTTTCCTCCCCCCTACCTCTAACTCCCAGCTTCTTTGCTACTCAGATGAAGAAACAAGAACACACAACATATCAGTTTGAAACAGACAGAAAGCAACTAAGATCCTACATCTGGAGGGGTGATTGCCACCACTGGGTAAGAACTGATTTTTTATGTCTCCTATGCTACTGAGAACTAACCAAATCACCATTCAGTTATACTCAGAAGCTAATAAGCTTATGCAACACCCTCACTGTTATTGTTCTGCAACTTTGCTTCCAAAATAATTTGCAATTGCATTTTTAACAGCTTTTTTTTTTTTTTTTTTAATCATTTTTACCATTTTAATTTATGGAAATGTGGCCTAAAAATGGCCGTACAGAAAGCAGTCTGTAAATGAGATAGAGCCACTAAGGCACAATTCCTGAAGGCCAGTGATGCAACGCCCTGCCGTGTGAGGTCGGGTGGGCACACAGCCTGGGATGGCAGGAAGGCACGCTGCTCATGCACAGAAAGCAGAACAAGTGAGTGGTTTCTGTGGGAAGGAGATCCAGGATGCATATCAGAACAAGGGCCAGCCAGGCACAAGTTTTATCTACCTCTAGCACAGACTCCACCAGCGGACAGTGCACACATACTGTCTTTTATGACGCTTATGAGCCTGGTGGTTACAATTCCATTGTTAACACAAGGAATGTCATAATGTTACAGCATATAGCATCTTAACAGCCACATTCAATCAAGGCAACGAATCTCTGGTTTTGCAGAGCAGCTGACGGGATTCTTCACTACTAAGAAAGCCAGAAGAGCTGCTTGATGACGTTAGGGAACTATCACGATGCCACGATTAAACTCAGGGGCAAGAAAGAAGTCTAATTTGACTCACCACTGACATATGCAGAACTGCCCCTGACAAGGTGAGCAGGAAGGTATTGGTTTCTGTGAGCCGAGTTTCCAGCTCTTGCTGTTGAGAAACCTCCCCATTCCTCCTGTGTCACCATCCCCACCTCTGCAATACATCTTGTAAACATCAGCTCAAGGCTTGCAGCCCTCTGTAAGGACAGCTTGTGTCCGCCTAGAGATTAACACTACCCTGAATTTGAATTACTAACTTAAATGAGACTTAACTAAACTACTTAAATGGTGACCAAATGCCATGCTAATTACAGTGAACACATTTGCAATTAACTGCTTCATTTCAGGAGCAAGAAAACCAACCCAGAGCAAACAGAACATCACTCATACATACCCACTCCTGGTCTAGACAGGTTAAGTGAACAGTCTGGCAACATGTTAATGCTGAAGATGAACCTCACAACACAGCTCTGAGAAGAAGCCTCTCTCCTACGCCCTCTCCAAGGTACATTTTTCATTGCTGACTGTGCTTAAAATGTGGTTTGGATCTTTAGCTGTTTTGTTTTATAACTATTTGTTGTCTTAATGCACACATTAAGGTGGCACTCAAAACAAGAACAACAAAGCACTGAGGAACTTTCTGAAAACTAAATAGTTTAAGGAGTACAAGCAACGTGGCCCACTGACAGAGAGCAACGAAGATACCTACCGGTTAAGGAAAAAAGGAAAGAGAACTGCTGTCTGTGTTTAGACACACTTCTCATGAAAAACAAAACAAAGCAAAATCTATTGTGCTTTTGCTACCAAGAATTCTAAATCTGATCCTTTATCTCTGCTTAAGACAAACAACGATCCCTTACCCATACACACAGACAATTGTTTGTCATATTGAGTATACATCCACAGCTCCATTTGAGCTGTGACAAGTCACTTGTCCTTGTGGGTCAACCGAAGGAAATGCTCCGAGTTATTATCAACACACACACTGCTACTGCTTCAGTACATCTCCTTCAATTTCACTACAACTACGGAGTGAGCCTTTCTCCACAGCAGCAATCAGTGAGGAGCAGGGGATGTTCCTGCATTTCAATTCCAATTTCTACACAGACCATGCAGTTATCAACCCTTAGAGCAATGTCTTTGAAAACTGCCCTCTTAAGGAAATATTCTAGTTATCGGTCCCTGCTATTCACACGCCAGCTACAAGAAAAAATATCTGCCATCTGACACCAGAAGGAAATTACATTTCTATGTTCACCAGACAGAGCTGCTGGTAACCTCACAGAACGCGGCAAGCACTGCAAACTAAGCCACCATCAAATGGAAGATGGTCTGATGCTACACAGAACTGCTTTTTCTCAAGTTTGGCAACCTTTCAGCCGGTAAGGTGGTGTTATTTTGACTGAAAGTCAGAAATTAAGTACTGGAAGGGAACTGATCAGCAGGAAGCAGAGTGACTTTTTACACCGCCTGATAGGGATAGGACAAGGGGGAATGGATTTAAACTATAAGAGGAGAGTCTTAGGCTAGATGTTAGGAAAAACATTTCACTTGGGAGGGTGGTGAGGCGCTGGCACAGAGAAGCTGTGGATGCCTCATCTCTGGATGTGTTCAAGGCCAGCTTGGATGGGGCCCCGGGCAGCCTGATCTAGTGGGTACTAATCCTGCCCACTGCAGATGGGTTGGAAACAAATGATCCCTCCAAAGAAAGCCATTCTATGAATCTACGATAACACTGAAAAGGTGCTGCTACCAAAAAAAAAACCAAAAAAACAAAAAAACCTGCATGAGAAGGCATGGTCTGCCTTACAGGTAAGATCTGAAGCTATGACCCATTAACTCTCCGGGAAGCTGAGGCTGCACACACTCAAGCTGATTTTCTTTTGGTCTCAATATTAATATCGATGGTATTTCTGCACGTGGAAGCATGTGCAAGCCAGCATTGAGCAAAGAGGGATCCCTTTGACCGTCCAAGCAGACTCTCCTGACAACCTCCTGCTACCCGCGTTTCGTCAGCAGGAGGTGGCACAACAACTGCGTGCAGAAGATTCTTGAACGCCGCCGTGCCACAGAATCACATCTGTACCCAACCGGTCCTTCGGAAGCCGAGAGCACCGCGTCGAAACGAGCAGGGCCGCCTTCCCCAGGCCGCCCGCTCCCACCGCCACGGAGCGGGGCGGCGTTACGGGGGAGACCCGGCGGGCTCCGGAGGCCTCGCTCAGCCCGAGCCCCAGCGGGAGGGCGGCCGCACGGAGCCGAGAGGCAGCGGGAGCCGGGCAGCGCGAGGGGAAGCGGCGGGCAGCGGTCTCGTCCCGCGCATCCGTCCGCATGCGGCCCTTCCTCTTCTTCTCCTTCCTCCTCCTCGCGGCGAGGCGGTATCGGTCCCACCCGCTCCTCTCCTGCATATTTCAGCGCTGCTTTAATTCCTGCAGCGAATTCCTCCCTCCCAAATTTGGGCGCAAAAGGAGAAAAGGGGAGGAGGGACGCGGGGAGGGTGGGTAGAGAGGAGGGAAAAGAAAAAAAAAAAAAAAAGAGAGAGAGAGAAAAAAAGAAAAAGAAAAAAGAAAAAAGCGAGATAGAAAAGAGCGAGCAGCAGCTCTCCGGCATTTTCGCTTTCTCGCGCAGCCCCATTAATACATTATACAATTTCGGCCGGGCAGGAAGTGAGCGCGTGGAGGAGGGGAGCGCGGGCGGCGGCGCGGGGCCGAAGCCAGTTCCGAGGCGGCGGCGGAGGGCGGGGGGCGCCGGGCCGGGGGCCCCGCGGTGGGGCCGCTCCGCACCGCTCCGCTGCCAGCCGCCCGCCGCCTCGCGCTGTCACGGCCCGCGCCTCGGCCCCGGGCTGGAGACTCACCCATGGCGCCGGCGGTGCGCTGCAGGCGCTGGGCTGCGGCTCGCTGCCCTCCCTCCGCCGCGGCGGCGCGGACCGAGCTGCCCCCTCCTCCTCCTCTTCCTCCTCCTCCTACTCCTCCGCCGCTACCGCCGCCGCGGCGCGCCTCTGCCCCGCCGCCTCTCCAACGCCCTCTGCGCCGATCCCGCCGAGGGGCCGCGGCTCTTCCACACGGCGCCTACGCGCGCAGGCGGCCGGACGCGCTTAACGGCTCGGCTCCGCGCTCCCGGCGCCGCCTCCTCCGTCCCTCGCCGCCGCCTCGCACGCCCGTTCGCACGGCCCCTGCCCGCCTCTCCCGACGCGCAGCGCCGGCGGCTTCCGGCTCGGCCCCTCGGCTCGGCGCGGGACTTCGCAGGGCACTCGCTGCCTCTCCCCACGTCTCTTCCCTCGCCCCCGCCTCTCGCGGCGCGAGGTTCGGCTGCTATTTCCTCCCCGCCCGCCCCCTCTTCGCCGCGTCCCGTGTCAGAGAAAAAAGGTCCGCTCGGCGGCCATTTTGGAACCGGGCACGCGCCGGAACGCCAAAGCCGCATCGGCGGGCCGCGGGATTTGCCCGCAACAAAGATGGGTGGCGGCTTCGATGGGTCGGGCGGGACGGCTACGGCTCCCCTCCTTTTTGTGGAACGCCGTCACCCCAAGCGCGGATTGCGGATCCCGCCGGGCGCTGAGGAGAGGCGGGCGGAAGAGCGGTACCCGGAGCTGCTCCTCGGGCACGTCCGTCTCCCCGCCGCACCGTCGCGCGGAGTCCTGCCGACACCGGCCGAGGAGAGGGCTGGAAGCGGGCTCTCCCCTCCTCGCAATAAAGCCCGCAGTCCCGTTCACGGCTCGCAACTCGCGGCGCTGCCGCCTCCCTCCCCTCGCACGGGTGGGCACGGCCGCTTCCCGCCTCGGGAAGAAGGGCGGGTGGCCTCGGGAGGCGGCCGCGCTGCACTTCAGACCGGGGCTCCTGGTCGCCACCGAGGCTTCCGCCTTCCCGGTGTAAAAAGGGGGATTTTTGTGAGGCAAGCGTGAGTTCTGGTCGCCGAAACTGAAGTGAAAGAGCTGCTAAATCATCTCTTCCGCCGCCGGGACCCGTCAATAGGTCCAAAGTCTGCCCTTCTGGCCAACGGCGGGGGGATGCAGTGAAAAGTTATTAAAACGTACCGCTGGAAGATGCCACATAAAGCCCTTCCACGAGTGTTCCTACACCCTGTAAATCACACTGCTACGACAGCGCTCGGCTTAGTGTAGCCCTGGCACTCCAAATTGGTGCCTCTAAGTCCTGCCTCCACCCCTCAGGAGCTCGGCTGTGATGCTGGAAAAGGGGCACGGCAAAATGAGCAAAAAAGAATTACTTTTGCCCTTCCCATTCAACTGCAGACCTCGCTGTTGTGTTGTACTTTCATACCTGGGACATCTCTTTGGAGCCATTTAAGCTCCTGGATGCTTTACGCCCACACTGAGATGCTGGATACCTGTATTTATGATGTGTGATCTGAAACCTTACACCCCTTTTGTGTTTGGGATTTCTGAGCGTGGTCTCAAGGTTCCTTGGCTTTTCTTTCTCACAAGACATTGCATTTCTCAAGTAAAGTACTCAGCAAAAAGGGAAACATGCTGAATTTGTTGTGTCTGTGATATATTTCATTTCTACTATTTTTAAGGGTACATTTTAAGAGGATGATGGGGTACTGGAAGGATGAAAGTAGGAAGTTCCATTTCAATAGCTGAAGTGGGCATGTTGTTAAAGCAGTGATTGAGTAGGTAGAGTCGCAGCAGGGCAGAAAAGAACAGCTATGAAGGGGCTAAGACAGTCCTTGGTTCTTTCTGATTCCCATCCAGTTCTTTCTCATCTGTGCCTTACATGTGATATACAAATACTTTTTACAACAGCACTGAAAACTGATCTTTTTCTTTCTGTTCTTTTTTCTTTTTTTTTCTTTTTTATTCATAAAGGTATGCAGGCCAGCACAATGCGGTTCAGTGCTCTTTAAGAACTGGAAGTGTTACAATATTCTGTGGTACTTAGATGCCCAAGGGAAAGAGATTTTTATTATCATTGGTCACAGGACTGCCAAATGTTATCTCATAAATCTGTGTCTTTCACAATGCATGAGGTAAGAAATAACCCTTTTTTCATTCTGGTTGGTTTAGGTGGTAATGTCCATGGCCATGAGATACGGCTACGTTGCTTTCGTGGTAATTTGAATACCAAAAAAGAGACACTTTACACCACAGAGGTTGTTCATTGAATGTATAGTATGGTCCCCACAACTCTCCCGTAAAAATACATTGTGGGAAAACAATCAGATGAGTAAGACTTGCTTTCTTTCTTGTAGTAAAGGCTTCAGATTGCCCGAAAAAAAATTGTCTTGGTCTTCAGATATGATGAGAAAATGGCCAAAGTATGTAGCTGTTAAGGACAGCTTTGAAAAGGGAACTATAGCTTTTAAGGAGTTTTCTTTTAAGTATTATTTCATGGATTGATCACTGAAGAAAAAAAAAACAGCACAAAACAGTGAGCTTGCACTTTTGGAATCTATTCCAAAACTGGCACAGACTTAATGAGGAAGCAAGATGCACGCCAGTGGGTTTTATGTGAGGTTAATGTCCTGTTTTTCTGTGTTGTGAATAGCAGGGGGGTTCTCTTCTCATAAGGTAATTTACAGGGTTCAGGAGATTCTACAAAATTGTGTATATTTTGAGAATAAAGCAAATGCAAATGGATCCCCGAGGCTTAAATGATATCACATTCTGTGTAAAATACAGCAAATTGCACCTTTCACATCTCCATAGTGATCTGCTATTCTTCTTCAAGAAGAAGAGACTTCACTACATCATCAGCAAACTTCAAGACTCTTTAGATTCTACAGGAATTGATACTTTTGAAAGAAAGTAAGATACGATTTTCGGCTTCCTTTTGTGAAATCACCAAAACACTTGGCAAAGTTCAACACAGAGTGCTATCTGCCATAGAACCTGTTTGTGTCCTTGTCCTCAGACACAGATACAAAACCCACTCAGCTCATTTAAAAAATGCACTAACTAATGTTGCCGCCGGGTTGGTTCCCAGCCAGCCTAGCCAGTTTTCATGCTTTCCTGCCAATAAGACATATGAAGACTGTTTGGTTTTATTAATGTGAGCAGGTGTGACTCGCTAGGTGAATTAGCTCCAGCACGGGTCGCGTTGAAAATTATGGTGCAGGTGCCCTGTTGACTTTCTCCTGCATGGAAACTCCAGTGCCTCCTGGGTTTGTAGGGTACACAGTGCATTTCCAGACTGAATCACACCTCTCAGTCAGCGCCACAGCCTATGCACCACCCTTCTGAGCTCCTGTGCTAATGTAACAGATCTTTGCATACCAAGCAGTCGTTTGCCAAAATGAACCTGTTTCATTATACGTCCTGGTCCTAAACTCCGTTCCCATAAGCAATCGACGTTGTGCAAGTAGTGATAATGCTGGGGATGCTTAGCAGCAAATAATGAGCACAGTCTTCTTCAAACCCATCTTTAAATCTCAGCTTTGCAGTAATGCCTTTCAAAATCTTGAATGCTCTTTAATCACTGCTTGTCACACTGACCAGTAATGTCTCCTGGCCTTGTATTCTTGTTCCCTCTTTGACATCTGTTGCCCTTTACATTTGATGATTTTTGTATAAATACTGCCATTCTGCTTTGTTCCCTAGCAAGAAACAGCCCAATACAATGGCAGTACAAATACTAACAATAGCGTGAGGCATCTGGTGTCACGTCTGATTGGGCCCCGATGTTTTGTCCATCAGCCTCTTCCTATTTTGAGACATGCAAACTCAGTAGGACCACTTGTCCAGAATCAGGCCTGTATTTGTGTAGCTGTTCTGTATTCAGAGAAGGCTCTCATGAAACAGAAAGTCCTTGCAAACTCTCAAGCAGCACAATAATCAACTATCCCTACTATTGCTGTCATTGCCGTTATGACTGTTTTCTTTGACTGCTACCTATAACATTATTTAGGAACATGCAAATGAAGCAAATTAAAGTGTATCCCTTTTGATCCCTTTCTGAAGAGTCACCATTTTTTTGACTAAAAAAATGCTCTGCAGCAGTAAGAAAAAGTTGTGTTCATCAGCAAATGCTCATACAATGCTGTAGAAGTTACAAACATAGGTTTCTATTAAACAGTTGCTATGACAAACAAACAAACAAACAGCATCTCTTGTTTTGTAGCATGTTTACTGTATTGTCCTGGTATACATCCATTACTTCAATTATCTAAAGAAAGAGGCTTTGATAGATTTCCACGCAATGATGTGATCCTTGTGAGAGGCACACACATGCACTTATTGTTGAAGGTAGAAAATGGTTGCTTTGTGCAGTTATGGTTGTGTAGCTGGGAATATAGATCAGTAGAAGCAGAAAGGGAGCCTAATCATGTATTCATAATGATTACTTTGTTAAGTGAGTTGACATCCAACCTTGGTGGAAGTTTATCCAGTGCTCTGCAGCATTTTGACTGGTGAACGACTTGTGGCTCAGGAAATACAGATTTCCAGTAATGTTAAACTATGTGAAAAATGCTCCATACATTGTTTGCACGACATTTGCAGAAAGCAAGTCAGTGAACTGACAGATCGTGAGATATATTTCTTACTTCAGAGAGTCAGAGCCTGCAGCAAATGCCCCTCTCCCCATCCACCCTTCCACAAGCAGGCAGGAGTGACTGCTCAGGAGGACCAGAAGCAACATCTGCAGTGCGTTCTGGTGGTTCCAGCTCTCTGTTTGTTTATTTGTTAATAAGTAAGCCCCACTGAGGTTGGGTAGGTCTTGGTAAATCCTTAAGAGACTTTCTGTATGCCCAGATGTGTAATCATTAATAGTGCCACGGCCAGACCTATAAACTGTTGTGCCTGAGCAGAGTCTTGAGGGCATGAAGGGTCTGTGCACACTGACAGCTCCACACGAGCAGGGCCTATAGAAGGATCACCTTCCTGCCCATTTACATTAGCAAGCACTTCCTACTGTAGTGTGAGGCACTGCTGTCATTCCTTGTGTATCATGCTAGGGAGGAAGCACTTGGACACTTAATGCAATGTGGCATTTCATTATATTTTTCTGACTCAAGGAAAGGAACTATGCTTTCCAGAATT